TGTTTTCTAGAGTCTTACTAAAATTCTTTGAAAAAGCTCTAGGAGTCTGGAATATTCAATTTCTCACCGTAGGCGTCTTTTAAACACAATCACTGAGCTGCGAAAAACAAACATTGTGTAAAAGTTAAAAGGAATCAGATGTCACGATCTAAGAGAAAATTCAGAGTATTTTTTAAACGTCCAGGAAAGCCAGTAAACTCATTTTAAGATTATCATGGATGTTACAAGCTGCGGGACATTTGAACCATTGGTGACTAGAAATCACAGGCTTTAATCGTTGATAATTAATAGTTTCTCAATTCTCAGTCTCGTTTCTTCTCCCATTGTTGTGTACTTGGAGTTCAGTCCAAGTAGGGGAGGTACACAGAAGAGTTGAAGAAGAATATGTTAAGAGAGAACGAATGAATGAGTTAAACACAAAGGATTGTAAGGGTAAAGTCCCCAGCGTCTGCCGCATACGCTTTTTAACACATCGGGCCTCTTTCGGGCACGTAGGCACACGACATCCACATGAAGAGAGCGAGATACATTGACTGAAAATAAAAGCTAGATATTTTAAACTTTTAACGTGCTCTAACACATGGTTATCGATCACCAAATTCAATTTTACGTTTCTGTCTGGTGGACAATTCATACAGTTTTAGCATAACTTATTTAAAGACGCCAATGTTTACAATATGCACAAAGTTTATCGCAAAAAAGTTGTAACCCCCCCTTGTACACTATTTAAACATGCGTCCTTGTAGCGTCCCGTACAGCCGTTGTACAGTTTTGATGATACATCTTCGAAATCAATGCATCAATGTCAATCAAGTCCTGCCGTAGGTTGATTTGGGTTAAAAAGATGTTTCAGTTAGTTGAATGAGGTTCAAAATTTGGTCAACTGTACATCGATATTTACGAAAACTGCTTTGTTCTATCGGAATTATTTTATCGTGTGTTAACCATTGACTCGATCCTAGTGCAATTAAACGTTCGAAGAGTTTATATAAGGCACATTGGGTGGTAACTATTTGGATCTGGTTTGATTTTATCTTGTTTAAATGGCATCCTACCCTTTTGACTTTTCCAAATGTCAGGAAATGTGCCAAACACCGGAGAGAATTGAAATGATAACAAATGATGGGTAGGTATAATATCTTCGTGGTTTGAATATAAAACAGGCTTTATATTTTTATACAAAACCACTTTATTTCTTTGTAAATAAGGTTATTTTTCAAGAAGTTTATATTGTATTAATTAGGGCATACCAAAAGCACGGGCAGTGACACTTTAATACGAGGGGGCGAATTAAATGGGGAAGGATAGAATTAAATTGGCAGAATGAGTTAGTTCTCATCGTTATCACGATGATTACCATGAGAATATTTACTCTTTGTAATTCAACAAAAGAAATTGAAGGTGCTCAGTTGGCACTGAAGTGTCGTGGAATTGGTGAAAAATGGATTGATCTAATTTGCACAAGTATTCAAACAGTACCATCCTCATGTTTTGCTGAAGTAGAAAAACTTCGTTTCAAAATGGTCACGATTGCTTTTACATGTCTGTTAACATTTTCAACTCATCAAGGTCGAATAAACTATTTATTGTCATCCCATAACGATGTTCAATCTTTACTCAAAGCAGTAACAACAGTTCATGATAATAGCATTTTAAACAAGGATCAGACGATGATGAGTATCTTTCTCAGGAATATGATGCGATTTAGTGAACGTGTCTCGGTAATGTTACAATCCACACTTGCTGAGTTCCTACAAAACACATCGTTATCAAAGCTTGAATGACTTTGCTACCAGTTACTGGGCTGTCATTCGAAGTAAAGGTATGATGGATGAAAAGTGGAGGAAACGAAGGGAAGATCCTCATGATGGTTGGTACGATAGCCAATATGGATCAAGACATATTTTTATTGATTGTATCCGAGGAACGTTTTTAGTTGATGGTATGACTGTGGGTTTTTTACCGGAAAATATGACTTCCAGTGAATTTTTTGTTCGCGTATTTGGTCAGCATAACTTCGAGGTTCAAGCGGCTCAATTACCAGATACATTCAGCACAGCAAGAAAAAACATGACATTCAACAACAATTGATACGATCATCACCATACCACGCACATATTATCAAAATCGAGTCTGAGAATCACGTTTTCACGCACCACAACGAATTTCTTCCTCTTGAAACCAAAGGACAAAGGGAGTGGCTGTTATTTCATACATTACTATCTTAATCTAGAATGTTTTGATATTTTTCTATGCCGCCAACATTTAGCGATCATGAGGAGGGGCTATAGTATCGCATTCTGTGGTCGTTCGTTTTGAGAACAGTTTTAACTATACTCTTTTTCCCACTCAGAGATGTTAAGGTTTACGACTTTGCGGTAAAACTAAAGATTGTTATGTTTTACCACATCCGTAATCATTACTCCACACATTCCTTCTCAAAAGAACAATTCTTGTACTAGAAACTCTTTGGTTTGCAGATATATTCAGCACAAACTCACACCAAACGGAAACAAAGAGCGGTTCGTTGCTTGAGAGATTCAACAATCTGAAAATTGCGATGGCTGCTGCTGCCGGTGCTTCTGCAACTCTAGATGCTGCCATGGAAATGCTAAAAGAGGTGAGAACTTCATCGAGACAAGGTTGAGCACTAGGGATGTATTTTGTTTATAAAATCAAGCGTAAACCGAAAGGAGAAGTAGCTAGGAAAAGGGTCGAAACGAAAGGATATTCAACGCCGCAGAAACGATCTTACTGCTGTGTTTTAACTATCTAATCGTTTTCCCATTGAATGAGGAACAAAAGTTTGCATAAGAATTGCGAGATAGTATGGTTTTCGTACATCTTCACATGATTATTCCCCAAAATCTTATTTGATGTGTGAATATTGTCACTTCCATCGATGTGCGAATGAGTAAAGCGCGTAGGGATGATTTACAATATCTCCAAACTCAGAGACACGCTAGATTTAACTTCTGCATTTGATCTTCAGTTCGTAACAAGAGCATCAGTGCTGCCAATTCAGGACACTTCTGGTCTTGGACAACGTACGTCGGATGCTGCTCCCAGTTTCGCTACTTTCTCTTCAACAGGCGCGTCACACTTCTTCGATCTTCCACGCTCCGAGGCTGCAGGGTCCTCAAGTCAACCCCATACTGCTGACGACCTTGATCACGAGCAGTGGAGCAAATTCCCAATGAGAAAATTCCCAAGTACATCTTCTCCCCGTTCTCCTGCTGAAACAAGACTGCTAACCTCTCCTCCGCGTTCACGATTCCCCAGAGACCAGTGCGACTCTCAGCTATACTGAACGAAACAAGTGCTTTGCTCGGTTCAAGATCGACGACATGGAACGCATCTTCAACTGCCCGTTCGTTGCGTTCAGCAAACCGTGGGCAAGCGAGGAGCACACCGCTAGGACCACGCTGCAGAAGAACCTTACCACCGCGTGCACTTGGGACCATCCAAGAATCATTCTCCAGATCAAAGGTAAGTTTTACACCCGCGAATCCGTGCGTAGTATCAGCTCGAGAATGTGAAACTATTGTGGAGCCCAACAGTCAGACTAACAAAATTTGCATTTGCTGGACTTCTGAAATATAGCTTAGGCGTACAGTGGACTATCAAAATTTTTATCCATGCTCCCACCAAGATGTTTATAAAACTGCTATTCCTCCTGGAAAGGAGGAAGCCACGTTGTCGGATACTTTGGCTAGTACCACCACAAGTCATTGACTCTCTCCCCAAACATAGGTGTGGTGTCGGGTTTTGTTGAACCAGGGGTTAGATGTGGTCTCTGAATCTGCTGTCAATGGACTCGATTATTTCTGTGGGCAAACATCGAGTTGTCCGGGAAAAAACCGGAAGTTCTTGTTGAGAGAAACCGATTTCCTCAGGAGAAAACATGAAGTTCTTGTCGAAACATACCGATTTCTTCGGGAAAAAATATGTGGTTCTTGTGGAGAAACATCAACTTCTTCGGGAAAGAACATGAAGTTCTTGTGAGGGTGCTGGGAAAAATGGAGTTCTTGTGGAAAAACACCAATTTTTTCAGGAAAAAACATGATGTTCTCATGAAAAAACACCGATTTCCTCCGGATAAAATATGAAATTCTTGGTGGGAAACATGGGGTTCTTGTGGAGCAACATGAAGTTCTTGTGGAGAAACATCGACTTCCTCAGAAGAAAACATGAAATTCTTCTCGAGTAACACCGATTTTCCAAGAAAAAACATGTAGTTCCTGCTGGGAAACACTCACTTCCCACAGATAAAACTCTATTTAACGTTCTAAAATGGAATATTTGTGAGAGAAACGTATAAAACAAAGGCTATTCATTTGGCTTTTCTCTTGAAAAACCAAGGTTGTCGATTAACATTAGGTTGATTATTCTTTAATTAATTTTGTTACTCATATTGTTCAGAATGTAGGTGAGTTAGTAGTAGAAAACAGACTACATCCTTCTCACTATTTTGTGTTATGTCTCATATGAACAAACTTATAATGGGAATATAATAGGAATTTATATAATAATGGGAATTTATATTCTCGATTTCGTTCTGGTTCAAGATTAAAGCTTAAACCAACAAACTTATACTCACCAACCGATATCTTTTAATCATTTCTTGTTATTGTTGTTTGTTTCTTAATGTATTTTCATTATCGTTTTAAATATCAATCAATCTGTTACATTTCGTCGTTGAATATTTAAATAAGTAAAATCTAAAAGAACTTGGACATTATTAATTAAAAGTATGGAAAGGAAACTATATGTTCATGCAAGCATGATTCGGCTTAAACATTTTTTTGCATTTAGAACTAGGCGTTTTTCGAATATAATTGACAAAATAAAACATATCGAAAATTATTTTTATTTATAAAATAAATATGGGTAAATAAAAAGAAAATGAAAAAAAGAAATTATGTGTCTGTAAGTACAAACGCAATTATTATTTTCATTGTAATGATGATCCACATTATTTCGCAATTAATTGTAATTGTTCATCTTTCATTATCATTATTAATTAAAGGTCTTAATGCATTCGATAAACGATAAATAGATGAATTGGAAAATAAAAGTGGAATACTTACTTTAGAATACAATCGTTTACGTATTAACGTTAAAATTTTCATCATTCCAAATGAGGTAACACCTAATTCATTGAAGGATGAATTCAAATTTATTTCAGTAGTCATTGGAAAATTCAATGCTTCAACAATTATATCATGTAGAGATTGTTCCAATGCTGTGTTAGGTTTAGTATTTTCTTCTTGATTATTCAAAAGTTGATTCAAATCCGGTACAGGTAATTGTTTACGATCAAGTTTTCTGTTTATGTTAAGTGGAAATTGTTCGAGAATAATGAAAAATGATGGAATCATGTATCTTGCTAAATTTAATTGACAATATTGTCTAATTTTCATTTTCAATAAGGTTTGATCATTCACTGTTGATTCGATATAAGCAACTAAATAGTCATCATATTTCATGACAACACAATTACTGACATCAGTAGACGATTTGAATATTGATTGTTCAATTTCACCTGTTTCAATTCGTTGCCCTCTCAATTTTACTTGAAAATCTTTTCTACCAACATATAAAAGTTGTCCAGTTGAATTTATTTTACATAAATCACCTGTTTTATAGACTTTTTCTCTTTGTTTCTCACCATGTACTGATATATTAATCAAAGCTTGCTCAGTCAAATCCGGACGATTTAAATAACCTTGAAATAAACAACTACCACCAATAAACATTTCTCCCACACGATTAATTTCTACTGGTTGTAGATAATCATCAAGAATATAACATGAACTACCTACAAACGGATAACCAATAGGAATGGAATGATTTTCTAAATCTTCAATTTGAATTAAATGACATGTAGCTGAGAGCGTGGCCTCAGCTGGTCCATATAAATTGAAAAATTTACATTTAGACGTAAGAAATGGTAGTAGAAGTTTGATCGTTTTTGAATTCATATGTTCACCTGTACAAAAATTGAAATAAGTGTTAGTTTAATGGGGAAAAGTGAAATAGAATGATGATGATGAAATGCATTTCTTGCCATACCTCCGAGTATAAAACAACGTATAGTATCAAGTTGTTTTGTTTTATATAAAAGATTATTTTGCCAAAATTCTGCTAATCTATTTGCATATTCTGGTACAACGTCGACATGTGTTACATAATTATTTCGTATTGTATTTGAAAAATAATCAAGATCAAGTAAACCATTTGAATGTAATAAAACTAATTGTGCTCCACATGATATTGAACCTAATATGTCTTCTAAATGAACATCAAATGAACATTGTGCCGCTTGTATAACAATATCATTTTTATTAATTATATCTGCTTCAATATAACTTTTTATGCGTATACGAGTATTTTTATGACTAATCAAAATTCCTTTTGGAATTCCAGTTGAGCCAGATGTAAAGAGAACAAAAGCAATATCGTTATCTATATTAGTAATAACATTTGATAATAAATTATAATCAAACATATTGTTATAGATGTAACAACTATCATTAATTATTTGTTCAACATTAATAAACTGAACAGTATTATCATTTTTAACTTGAATAAATTTATCTTTTGTAAATGAATGAATAAAAATATGTTTTGATTGTGTTTCATCAATCAATGTTAAACAACGTGCTAACGGATCATTTAGATTAAGAGAACAATAAATACAATTGTTCATTAAAATTGATAATATACCAATTGGCATTTCAATTGAACGTTCTAAACATTGACATATAACTTGTTGTGGTCTAACATTATACTTTTCTATTAATTGTACGGATACCAATTGTACATAATAGAGTACTTCTGAATATGTTAAACATTGTTGATCTAAAATAATACAACCTTTTTGTCCAAATTCTTGTGTACATTGAATAAATAAGTGTTGAACAGCATTGAATTGTGACTGTTGATCAACAACTATGGATGTTTGATTTAATTTATTTATTAATTGTTCTTCCTGAGGTAGAATAAGTGATAATTTATATATAGGTTGATGATGCAAATGGGTGGAAAATAAAAATAATTGTTCCAATAAAAATTTAAATTTATCAGCCATTTGAGCAATTGTTTCATATTTAAATATATCTTGAGAATATTCAAAATAACATAGAAGTAATTTATCCGTACTACAGTAATCCATAATCAATGATAAATCAAATTCTGATGTATGTTTTTGATTATATGACATTTCAGACAAGCATATAGTTTTTTCATTTAAATAAATACGATTCGTATTGGCTAATGTATGAAATTGAAATGTTGTGTGTATATAGGGTAAAATTGTTGATAATGATGACGAGATTGCTCTTGTTTGTGGTTGCATATGATCATCATTACTATATAATTGTTCTATTAACTGATAAGGTAAATAAGAATAATCTGTTATAGCAAGATATAATTCTATAACATGTTCCAATGTTTGTTCAAATGTTTCACAAGGTTTTAATTGTAAACGATAAGGTATTAGATTTAAAAATAGTCCAATTAATGATTGTATTTCCGGTCTATAACGGTTTGCATTTAATACACCTATACATAAATCTTCATCTTGTGTTATTTTAAATAAATAAATAAAATAACACGATAATAAAAGTTGAAATAGACTAATACCTTTTTTATTAGAATAATGTAGTATTTTATACGTGAGTTCTTTATCTATTTGAATGAAAACATGTGAACCACGTCCAGTACGTATTTGTGTTGATAATCTATAATCATACGGTAATTGTAATTCTTTATTTCTATCATAATTATTTAATAGTTTTCGCCAATATTGTTGTGCATTAGACATATCCATTTGTCGTTCATATTGAGAATAATCAATATAATTTATTAGCATTTCATTATTCAAATCTAATTTATTATTTTCATAAGCAAATATAAAATCATTAACAAATATTTCAAATGATACACCATCAAATGCACAATGATGAAAATTAAATATAATTATATCACCTTTAACTAACAGATCATCATCATTGTAATTGACATTGGATTCGCGTCGAATTACATGACATCGAAATACTAAACCTTGGTTCAATTTAAAATAATCATTTGATATTTGTTCCTCTAATAGCTTTTGATTCAATTGATGTTCATCATTTTCTGTTATATGACTTATTTGTAATTTGAAAATATTTGACGATATAGGTAGAATTGTTTGTTTTAAACACTTCATTTCATCTGAATAATTTAGTAACGTACGTAGTATTGAATGTTTATGTATTAGAACATTCAGTGTATGAATTAATTTTTTAATCGACATGCAACCATTTTCAATTTTGTAAAAATATGGTATGTTATAAATAGCTATTTGATGGCGTACCTTATTCTCTGATTGACTACCACTATTATTACTACTAAAGCGAATTTGTTCGTCAAACCAAAATCGTTCTTGAGCATAAGATGCTGGACCTATAGGAAAAAATAAAATTTTAAATATATATTGTGTGTGGGGGGAAAATTATTCATGAAAAGTTTGAATACTATCATTTTGAGAAAAGAAATGTTTTCTTATGGAGGTAAATTTACCAAAAGTTCTTGTTTTTCTGTCTAACATTTCATTCTGTCTAAGAATTTTATTCTGAATGCCTTTTATTCTCAGACTTTTGGTCCAAAGTGCCTACTGAATGCGAAATCACCGTCAAGCTTGTTTTCAAAATAGGTTTAGTCTTAAACATCCATTGAAAAGGTCAGTGATAAATTCTTCCGCGAAAATGCATTTAACGAGGAAAGATCCCCAGGTGCACAATCGCTTTTCGCTTGAACTCTGGTGGACAATGGGTAATCGACTGGGCTAAATCCAAATCTGACATCGGTTTGTGCTGCTGGACCTCCGGAGGCCGGATTACTGAAAAACCATGTTTTCGGACACTGAAAAGTAATCAAAACCTTTCTTAATGAGGCATGATTGTAGACCGCAAATTTCTGATTAAAATGCGATATCTCCCAGCTCTATACGAGCTTTCTTTGTAAAGTTATAGAATTTACAGGAAAAGCTCTAAATGTTCATTGTCAGCTTAAAGCTACAGAAATAAGAAGAAATTAATTTAGGGCTTTTCCTGTAAATTCTATGACTTTGCAAAGAAAGGTCGTGTAGAGCTGGGAGATATCGCATTTTAATCAGAAATTTGCGGTCTACAATCATGCCTCATTAAGAAAGGTTTTGGTTACATTTTAGAGTGCCTGAAAACCTGGTTTTCCAGAAATCCGGTCTGCGGAGGTCTAGCAGCACAAACCGATGTCAGATTCGGTTTAAGCGTAGTCGATTACCTATTTTTCACTAGAGTCCAAGCAAAAAGCGATTGCATACTTGGGGACCTTTCCTGGTATTTTTAAAAAAACCTGTTTTTCACAAAAATGCCTCTGACGAAGGTATGTGCGTTTTGACACCAAAAAATACACTTTGCCACTGTGCTCAGCGTGGTCGATTACCTATATTGTATGGCATTTCGAATTGCTCGGAGACAGACACACGCTCGCGGAAAGCGAGCACTGTCCAAACGACGAAGCTGGATGGCTAGGATTTGCATAATTTTGTAGAGTAACGCATGCAAACAAATTACTAATTTCATATATTAGTTTTCTGAGAACGAAGCTAGTTCTCCACAGATCCTCTGGAAAATCGGACTTCCAGAAAATTTTGAAACAAGTTTCTGCGTAGAAAAACATGTTTTTGTGGTCTTAGCAACACGATGGTGAAAACCGCACGTCGCTGTCTGCCAGTGTGATTGAGTTATTCCAAAAGTAACCGATGACATTGTATTATGCAACGGATATCAGTCACGCAACAATCGAGTCTTTATCTTGAATTTTGAAGATTTTATTCGTATTTGAGGATTCATGAAGCTAAAAACCTCGAGGAAAGTTAAAATTTGTTGTCTCAAAAACTACAAGTCCGAGACGGTCCTAGAACCGAAAACATTTTAGAAGATAAACTTCAAAGTGTCCTCTATAAACTGGCCATAAAAGTTGAGTAGTCGCCCCCAGCCCCTTGAATACTATGAGGTTATGGACAATCAAAATTTTGATCGTATTTTCGAAGTTTTGCAACAACGAATCAATTTTCAGATGATATTTTATATCTCAAGTGTATCTTAGAAAGATAGGTGTGTCTTAAAAGTTTCATCAAAACATATTGTCTCCTAATGGGGAAATGGCAATTTCAGTAATTTTAATAGTAATTTTTGAGACAATCGAATGTTTTTCTGAAAATTTTCCTATATTCCTAAAGCTTGAAAAAATTCTTTCTACTTGGGTTTTGTAGCATTTTTTAAGGACTATCGACTCCACTAAAAATGATGTGTTGATCATCTCGATGTTTTACAAATAAAGTTGGAATAAAAGCGAAAATGATGACGTTTAATCATTATTGTTCATAGTGTTTTGAATATTTTCCTGCTTTTTCAAACGTTTAAATCAATAAAAACTAGTGGGTTTTGTAGTTCTTGTCAAGAGCTAAAGAATATCCTCTATCCACCTGCACAAAATTCAAGATCACTATCGATCATGGCTTCTGAGAGATGAATTTTGCTGGAACCAAGAATGGTAGAAGACTATGATAACAGGATAACCCGAAAGTATGAATCGATTTCCACAAGTTTTGGCTCGTCTGAATAATGAAAAGCGTGGAATCGGTGAAATCAATGCTATAGAAAATGAAAAAGCAGTGACCTAATCTTTTAAAAACCGATGAGGTACACCACTTGAAAATCTCAGGTATTCCAGTCTCCCTGAATCAGAAGGTAGCCTAGATTATCCTCTATAGGACTGTAAAAGTTCCGGTTACTTCTTTGGCCGTTAGCGACAACGGTAACTAGAAAAACAGTTGCTGTTAAAACAACGGTAACTGTCTTTTCAGTTACCGTTAACGATAACTGCGTTTCCAGTTACCGTTGAAATAACGGTAACTATCAGTTAGTTAACTTTGTGGTAACTATTTTTTAAGTATGGCAGAAATATCACGCAGCGGCTTAAAATGGCTACCAAAATCATTAGTTTTCCACTAAAACTGTTGAAACTTTCATATTCATGTAGTCTAGTTTCGTTGATGAAAACAAAAAAAATTTCTCCTTTGAGTCCCGAATTATTTTTGCTGAATTGAATGTAAGTCGTAATTCTCAATTTTCTCCATCAGAATTCAACTTTTATGCAATAAATATATCATATTCGGAATCAGGATGGAAAAATGAATCGACTGATGTGTATCCCTGTCCTATTCGAGTACTTTAATTTGTTTTCGAATTTTCACGTTAAAAATCATCAAGATTTTCACCCAAAACTGAAAATCAGCTAAAAATTTCGAAATACAGATCGGTCGACTGAGTTTTTGATCCTGATTCTGAATATGATATTTTTATTACATAGAAGTTGAGCTCTTCAAGAAAATTGAAAACTACGGGCAGAATTCCGACTTTTTCGCTACTGATTAAGAGAAAATGAATTTTCTCAACGAAACAAAATTTGAAAAAAACTGAGTTGTACTTTTGAAGCTGACACTTCAGCAAATATAATGGGATGTAAATGATAGTTCCAACCCTTAAAAAAAGAATGGAAATGAAGACTTATATGATTCTTGAATAAATTAAATATATCTGATTTAATAAAATCGTTTTCTCCTAGTTTATGGTACACACAGTGCCACATAGGTGCATCTGCTATTAATTAGCTAATTCTCCATTGCTACATTCGAAGCCGAACTGAAAACGCAGTTATCGTTAAAGTAACTGTAATTTTATTTTTAGTTAGCGTTAAATCAACGCAACGGGAACTTTTACAGTTCTAATTCTCTATAAAATGGTGAAAATCGAAAGTCTTTACGTGCTTTCGCTCTCGTAAAAAATAACGGATTCGATTATATTTTTAAATACACAGTAGTCTATATTACACCTACTTATGGTATAAAGCAACTGATGCGCGTAATATCAATGATCGCTGGCTGCCTGGCGCTAAGAGAATATAACTTATATGTTGCATTAATAAAAAGACTCAAAAATTGCAGAACAAGAGGCAAATACTAAAAACACCTTAGAAAACAGCAATATGTTCTGTCTGCGAAGCATATTTCGAGTCATGTTACAGACCAATAATGCATTAGACATAAACATCGATAGATTTTTATGCGATTCTGAAAGATACTGTAAGCTTTTAATCAAGTCAAAAATCAAGCAAAACCTGTGAAGTTCGATAACCAGAACTTCTGAAAAGAGCTTGATGTCATCTATGTTTGCCAAATTACTGCTACTTTTCCTTCTGCCTTTGTTTTCACGCTTTCTCGTCATTTCTGACACAAGTTCTAAATCTATTTACCTTCAATAATATTCAATGTTCTCCATTGTTCAGGTGATTCAGGTGGCGAAATCAAAACTCTATTAATTAACTGTATATGTTCACCTATTGTTGATTGTTTAAAAAGTGAACCAACAGATAAATTGAAATTAAATTTTGTTTGATATTGTGAATATAATTTCATTAACAACAGAGAATTACCACCTATTGAAAAAAATGATCTTGTACTCGGTATTTTGTCTAATTGTAACAATTGACACCAAATATCATAGACATTTTTTTCCTGTTGTGTTTGTGGTTCATTAACAATTAACATTTCATTTTTCATTAATTGTGCAAAATTAGGTTTAGGTAATTGTTTGCGGTCGAGTTTTAAGTTGCTATTCAAAGGAAGTTTTTTCATAAGAACAAAGAACGATGGTACCATATGTGAAGGTAAATATTGCTGGCAATAATCTCTTATTGTTAATTCATCTACATCGGTTGTTTCAACATAAGCTATCAAATATTCATCATCATTTTTTATTACAATACAGTTAGTGATACTAGAATTTGATTGAAGAATTGTTTGTTCTATTTCACCGACTTCAATACGTTGGCCATGTAGCTTAACTTGAAAATCTTTTCGTCCTATAAAATAAATTAAACCTTGATTATCTATTTGACAGAGATCGCCTGTTCGATAGCATTTTCCATTAACATTTGATAGATTAATGAGAACTCGTTCAGTTAAATTAGGCTGATTCAAATAACTATGAAAAACACTGACTCCACCAACAACTAATTCACCAGTATAATTCAATGGTAATAGTTGCAGATAATCATCCACAACGTAACATTGATAATTTAACATTGGTTTACCAATTGAAATAGATTTAGACTTAACATCTTCTTCTAAATTGAGAACATAATAGGTACATGCTATTGTTGTTTCAGCCGGACCATAGGAATTAATAATTTCACAATTTGAAGACAAATACGGTAAAAAACTATTCAATAGTTTTGGTGTTATTGCCTCACCTAAAAAAATAAATTTAATAAACGTACTATTGAGCAGCTCATTTAACAAACCTCCAAGTGAAAATGATCGTATTGTATGAAATTGATTATCTTTAAATTTTTCGTTTTGTTCCCAAAATTGATATAATGAATTAGCATATTGCGGTACACCGTCGATACGTGATAATTGATGCTTTTGAATTGTTGTTGATGTATAATCTAAATCAAGTGGACCTTGTGGATGTAAACAAATTAATTGTGCACCAGAATAAAAACAACCATAAATTTCTGATAAATATGAATCAAAAGAACATGGTGCAAGTTGCAACATTGTATCATTCACGTTTATCCAATTAACATGATTTAAAGCCTGAAGTTGATTTTGAATATTTTTATGCTTAATCAATATACCTTTAGGCTTGCCAGTCGAACCAGAAGTAAAGAGACAATATGCAATATCATGATTAGAAATATTAATATTAGAAAATAATTTTAATGCATTATTATCTATGGGTATTATAAAATTATCGTTGAAAGTAATTATTTGTTGAATATTAATAAATTGAAGGCGGTCATAGTGCCCATCACCATACGCAAAGGATCTATAAACCAAAAAAAATATTTATCAGGATTTTTGTGGTACAATAGACTATACTCTACTTCCTTATTGTTTATCATGTGCAAGTAGTGTCAACATTTATTTCTATCTTTGTTTGTACCACTGTTTTCTTTTCTCTTCTTATATTTTTAAATCATTCAAATTATTCATTAAAGTTAAGTTGGCCAAGACTACACAGCAAAATTCGAGATATCGTACTACTATTGTTGAAATAAAAAAGCTTGTCAACGTAAACCTAGCGATCTGAAGGTGAAACACCGATGTAAAGCGCTGAATGTTTCACAAGGCTGTAATATCAACTATATATCAAGACCTGTACGCATCTTTCCACAAGCAGAAATGATTTTTGAAAAAAATTCAAAGACCAGATTTTCAGCACATCTTTGGAAAATCAGTTTCGGTTTCTGAGAACAGACATAGAAATAAGTCGATCTTTCTTCATAGGTAGGTAGTCCAAAGTGTCCTCTCCAAAATGAACGTTAAGCAAACTCTTAACTTTTTCCTGTTTAGGCGTGTCATCAGATTTCCTGAGAGTCCCAGGATGAATATTTCTTTAGGTGTGGCAATACCGAAAATAAATGGAAACATAGGTAATCCACCATGCTAAATCTCATGGCAACATTTGTGTTTCAAAACATCATCAAAAACCTAGTGAAAACCTATATTACGTTCTCAGAGACCGAAATTGGTTTTCCAAGGATGTGCTCAAAATCCGGCCTTTGAATTTTTTTCAAAAATCATTTCTGCTTGTGGAAAGATGCGTACAGGTCTTGGTTATTCAAAACTGAAAATCGCAAGTCTCTATCTGCTTCCGTTCCGGAGTTATTCAAAAAGCAACCGTCTGTCTTGTCTTTTGGAACGGATAGTAGACCCCTTACACAGTGAGCGTTCAGGCTGACATTTGCTCAAAAACAAGAAAAAGTTCTTTTCCAGATTTTTAATATTGGAATAATTTCATTGATGTTTGATGCGTCTTTTCACAAAAGAACATGATCTCTGAAAAAATGCCATCATAAGGTATTTTTTAGAAAAAAAAGTTTCTTTTTAAATCTTCTGTTTTTAAACTTGCAGTCAATTATTAAGCCATGAAAGTAGTAATTCTAGACATGAAGAAAATCGTTTCTCGTGTAAAAGGTGCTACGTTCGTATGTTATGGGAAAAGTGGTTACTGTGCTTTCAAGTCATTATCTATGTGTGAACGCTCAAAGAAGTTATCACAATTTCACAGTTCATTTTATACCAGTAACAATTCATTCTTCTAATCTAAGTAGCTTCTTACATTAAGAAACATTGTGAGCCTTACTTATTTGATATATTAATAAATTTATCTTCTGTTGGAGAATGAATGAGAATATGTTTTGTTTGTGTATCATTAATGAGTTCGAATAAACGTGTGTATGGATTTTCTGGATTGAGGGGACAATGTATAGCACCACATATTAGAACACTAAAAATACCAATTGACATTTCAATTGAACGTTCTGCACATTGACATACGATTTGTTGTGGTCTAATATTATAGTGTTGTATTAATTGTATGGATACTAGTTGTACATAATACAGAAATTCTGAATAGGTAAGTGACTGTTGATCTAAGATAATACAACATTTTTGTTCAAATTCTTGACAACGATCAACAAATACATGATGAAGTAATGGTGATGATGAATTATCATTATATGTTTGATTAATATCATGTAATATTTGTTGTTCATATGACAATAATAAGGATAATTCATAAAGTGGTTGGTATTCTTTATCAAATGAGGATGTAAATAATTGTTCAAGTAAACATTGGAATCGTTGTGATAGTTGTAGAATAGTATCATGTTTAAATAAATCGGTTGAGTATTCAAATAAACATTTTAGTGTTTTATTGTAGTTGTCATAATTCATATGTAATGAAAAATCAAATATTGATACATTTTTCTCATTCAATAATATTGGAGATAGTTGAATATTATCGTCGAAAATAGTTTTTGTCGATGATGATGATGATGATGATGTATCAAACAAAAATGTTGTTTGTAGATATGGTAATATTTGATTACCATATTGATTTAACTCAATAATTTTCTGATAAGGAAAACAGGTAAATTCTGATATTTCAAGACAAAGTTGTTGTACTTGTTTAACTAATTGTTCAAATGTGTCTTGAGGATTTAGACGAAAACGATATGGCAAAATATTAACAAACATTCCAATCAATGATTGTATTGCAGTTTGATAACGATTTGCATTGAGAACATCAATACAGAGATCTATTTCATGTGAGAGTTTAAATAGGAATGCATAATAGCAAGATAATGATAATTGAAACATTGTTAGATTCATTTTGTCAGCATATAATATTAGTTGTTTAATTATATATGGATCAATCTTAATACTAATGGATGAACCATGTCCTGTTCTCTGATGCGATTTTACCATATAGTCACACGGTAATAATAATTGTTGTTGTTGAGACGAATAATCTTCTAACAATTGTGACCAATACTGCTTAGCTTTTGACATATCCATTTTTCTCTCATATTGTGAATAATCAAAATATTGTAATTGTAAAGGATCAAGTACTTGATTTGTATAAGCTAATTTAAAATCATTGATAAATATTTCAGTTGAACTACCATCAAATGCCGCATGATGTATATTAAATATCAGCAAATCGCCTTGTTTCAAGACATCTTTGTCATTGTCATCGCTCTTATATTGTAATATATGACATCTGAGTACAATACCTTTATCCAAATGAAAATATTCATTAGATATTTCTTCTTGTCTTAAAATCTCGTCAATTTGTCGTTGTTGATCGTGAATGACGGTTAGTTGATAGGAATAATTTTCATGTAAATTTATTATTTGTTTTAAATATTGTTTTTCATCGTCGTATACAAGAGATGTACGTAGTATTGAATGTTTATTAATTATCAATTTTACTGACCGATGTATTTTTTCTATGAGCATTTGACCACATTCTATTTTAAATACAAGTGGAATATTATAAATTCCACATTGTTGTTGTTGTTGTTGTTCTTGATGAAATCTTATTTTTTCATCTAACCAAATACGTTCTTGACCAAATGATGCTTGAACTATGAGAGAATAAAAAAACAACATGCTGAAACGCTTTTAAAAGAGATAAATATGAACCGAATTTTCAGTGATGAAATCGACCCGACACATTATCGCAGTGCCGCAGAATGAACGCCCTTGTATAACGAAAAACATCAGGAAAACTCTTGCTAGAAAATTTTCTTACAAAACGCTATGAGTAGGAAACTATCACTTTTTTTTATAATTTAATGAATTCAAAAACTGAATGGGCGATCAAAAACCCCCCTTTTCCATGCTAGAAATGTTTAAAAGAATCCTTGTTCAGTATAATGAGAATGCTTAATTCAGATAAAGAACAATCTGATTCAAAGTTTTACCAAGTACAAATAACTCTTATAACTACACTTTATCGATTCTGATGTCATTTGTGGTCTCATTCGTGCTGTGGCTATGTTGGAGATTTTTTAAAAATTTAAGTTTTTGAGGTAAAATCTATTTCTTTCCGCCACAGAGGCATTTGATATGTTTTTGTTTTTGCAAAAAAAGAAATCTATTTTATCATTCTTTTAAATTTACAATCAACTACTAGACGTAAGAATAGTAATATTAGACATGAAGAAAACTATTTCTAGCAAAACAATTGTAATATTCGTCTGCTATGTGGAAAGTGCCCACTATACTCCTGATGCGAATCATGAAACTTTCAGCAAGTAGTCATAAAACGGTTGCTGCTGACGACGGAGGTCTACCAACTGTCTAATCACTTTTGAGACGAAACTAGTGGGTGATAATCGACCATGCTGTTCCGAATATCGACATGAGACGGGCAGTTAGACCTCCAGAGATCCGTTTTCTGGAAAACCAGTTTTTCAGATACTCTAAAAAATAACCAAAACCTTTTTTAATAAGGTATCATTGCAGCCCGCACACTTCTGATTAAAATGAGCCATCTCCCAGCTCTACACGACCTTTCTTTGCAAAGTTATAGAATTTACAAGAAAAGCCCTAAATGTTCACTGTCAGCTCAAAGCTACACACAGTGGGGAAATAGGCATGGACATTGAGTTCTAAATAACTTTAACAAACTGGAAACACTCTTTTTATAGGTTTTCGTGTGTGCTCTTTCCAGTGAAACGGTTTTCAGAGCTCAGAAACCCTTCAAATGGTTATTTTTTGAGATCCCTAGGTTTCTAGAGACCCAAATGTACTGAGAGATGATCAGTTTGTGAAGAAAATTATGATTCATAGGTTTTCGGATATCCTGATCTCAACTGTACTCACAGAAAATGTTTTGGCAAGGTTCCGGTGGACTTCTGGAGACCGGATTTCTAGAAAACCATTTTTTCTGGAAAAATACAACATAGCCTCTTTTATAGGTTATTCAACATGCTGATTTTGATGAGACCTGATAAAAGATCGTCACTACTCTGCCACCGCCACCCCTTGGTTCTTCGGTTTTGTGTAGTACTAGCCAAGTCCCTAATCTTCTACAGAGTTCATAGCTGAATTTCTAGAAAATTTCCCAGACTAAAATTCAAACTAAAATGCAAAACGGAATAGACTAAAGACAATCACGGTTATAACAATACTCGGAATATTTGAACTCTGTAAGTCTCCGATTTAGTCCTGGTGTATTGAAGAGGTGTTACCGCCTGAAAGTGTCTCAACTTTAAAATTTTCATCAAATTCAGCCTGCTAGTCCAAAAGTGTCACAAGAAATATGAGTCAGTGGGACTACCCTGATGGAAAGGGGGGTCCACACAAGTGCTCCTCATAAAACTTGCGAGCGGCTTGTCCAGCTAAAGGTCTCCTTTTTTCGCTCTTTTTCAAAGAACTATGGCAATAAAGTTAGAAAATAATCTAAAACTACAACTAGGTACTTGAGTAGATTAAACATTTCTCTACAAAATGAAAAGTGTCTCGGCTCTGAACGTTGATTCGTTATGAAAATACAGCTGTTATACAAACAGCCTCAAAAATCGATGTTGAGGCTATTTAAAAAGTGTGTCTAAAAAAGTGAAGACGAGCCCGTAAAAATTGAACAAGTATATCAGTTTGTAGAAAATTGTTTGCTCTACAAGTTGCGATAGCTTGTCAAGCTCGAAACTATTCTAGTTAATCTGTATTAATCAAAGAAAATTCTGTTTTTTCTTTCTCAAAGAGCGAAAAAAGGAGACCTTTAGCTAGACAAGCCGCGAGGCTTTTGGACTAGTCGAACCGAAGGCCTATTGTATAGGAAAACCTTCGCAACCAAGAATTTTAACCGTTGCTTTGGTCCGAAACTTCTATCACGGAATCCAATAACCAAGGCCTAACACTTATCCTAAAAAATCTTATCTTTAACTCTCCTAACATCATTAACCTAGTTTAACGTCATTGCGGACAAAAAAAGCGGGAAAATCGGTGTTTTTCGTTTGGTCGGGATTTTCACGAAAAACCATATTAATCAAAAAGTCTTAAAAGACACATCGTTCGACGTAGTTTTTCATGTTGTATCCAAATATGTCATCGGTTTTCAGAAAAAGTACTTTGCAATCGAAAAAAAACGAAAAAACCTGTTAAACACTGAGATTTTTAGAAACTCTCCAGCATAGCTCAGCAAAATTTGCGCTTCTTTGCGCGCCCCTAGGAAGATGCGTTATATGTTGAATGATAATGGGTAGAAATTTCATTGAATTAGGAGCTGGGCAATAGTGAGCGCCCTCACTATACTGAAGGCACCGTAAAAGAACCGCTGAGTTAACAAAGAACGGTTGCTATTTGCGTCACGAAAGACTTTAAAAAAATTTGTTTAGCAATCGATAGAGAATTTGCCACAGATTTCTGCAAATGTATATGTTTTTGTAAACGGTTACTCTGGTTTTGTACATATTCCAGTTTTCCTATAGCACCATTGTTTTCGGTCCGATATTTCCTAGCGATTTTCCAACAAAGGTTCACTTAGAAGAAACTTTCAGTGGAAAAAAGATAGAACGTTTGCTGATGTATATGCCCAGCTATTTAGATCTTGAAAAAGTGCACTTTCGTTTTTTCCCCTAATGTCCACGTTGTTTTCCACTGTGCTACAGAAATAAGAAAAAAATTAATTTAGGGCTTTTCTTGTGAGCTCTATAACTTTGAAAAGAAAAGCCATGTAGAGCTGGGAGATATCTCATTTTAATCAGAAATGTGTGGGCTACCATCATGCCTCATTAAGAAAGGTTTTGGTTATTTTTTAAAGTTTCTGAAAAACTGGTTTTCCAGAAAACGGGTCTCTGGAGGCCTAACTGGCCATCGCATGTCGATATTCGGAATCAGCATGGTCGATTACCTATCACCCATTAGGTTTCGTCTCAAAAGCGATTGGACAGTTGGTGGACCTGCCTCGTGAGTGTTAACTGACTTGAGCTACAATAATAGAAATACTTACAACTAATACGTAAGTCTCCAGTTTCATTCATTTGAACTGATTCCGTTTGATCATTAATAATAGAATATGCGTTAATGTGAAAAGAATTTATCGGTAAAGCAACTACAATCAAAACTTAAACGAGACAGATTCTCGATGTTTTCGAATACGTTCAATAAAATTAAAATGACGCTTTTACCTAGGCATATTTTCGTTGCTATTAAAGATAAAATGTAATGATCGTTGAGCTATATGTATCGATTTTGGATCGTTCACCTAACATAAAAAGAAATAAACAAAGTTGTTTAAATTGTGAAAAAATATCATCTAGTAATTTGATAAAAGATAATCTTGCGAATTATTGAAAATAAATTGTTTGAATTGGGACAATTCAATTCAAAAATTTTAAATAAAACTTTTTGTATTTGTATTTGGATTTTGTAGCATTTTTCAAGGACTATAGACTCCACTAAAAATGATGTGTTGATCATCTCGATGTTTTACAAATAAAGTTGGAATAAAAGCGAAAATGATGACGTTTAATCATTATTGTTCATAGTGTTTTGAATATTTTCCTGCTTTTTCAAACGTTTAAATCAATAAAAACTAGTGGGTTTTGTAGTTCTTGTCAAGAGCTAAAGAATATCCTCTATCCACCTGCACAAATTCAAGATCGCTATCGATCATGGCTGGTGAGGGATGAATTTTGCTGGGACCAACCGTTATTGACCCTCGTTGACTGGGGTGATCTCAAAATGACTGCAGATATAGATTATGGATCACTTTGAGTCATCTGGCAATGTTGGTCTTCCTTTAGAAGCTGAGAAAAATACAAAACTGAATTTTTATGAAAATCGCCATTTTAGCTTATTTTCCGACATACAAAAAAATTATTCAGACTAGTCAAAACTTGTCCAAATCGTTCCAAACTTCGGAATATCATGTTCTCGTGGTTCTCTATTGGCCAGAAGTCGTGATCCTCTGTTAGTAATAAGAAATGCAAATTTTTTCTAAAGTATGCGGTCATGGTAACGCTCGGAAGCACTTATAAAGTAAAAAAAAGGAGAAAAGAATAAGGTCATATGGCAACAGAAAAATGGTTTTCACTGCACAAAAATTAAAACAATATTAAAATTAATACAAATTTCCGAAGTTATTACAGCACATACTCTCATACGCGGAAAAAAAACCATAAAATAACAAAAGAATCTTCGTCTGGTTATTATGCTCATCGATAGAGTCAACAATTGTAAAAGAACACGCAAGACGACTTGGGCGCATGTAGCCTGATTTAAGAGATATCAACGACATAGCGTTTTACATAAGAGATGTACTATATGGACTGTTTTATCAAATCTCAGTAAAAAAACAGTTTCAAGACCTGAAGAAGACTTTTTCCAAAACATTTCAGCTTTGTGAGTTGCACAGACAAAAAGTTAGAACTATTCAATATTTCGTGTAACCAGTTTGATGATAACAGCGCGTCGAAAAGAAAAATCGTTGCCGCGTCTGAACGAGATCAGTGGTGAGAGCTACACTAGACTACTGGCGTTTTCAAAATAGAATGTGTGCGACTGTGAGTCGAATAACTCCGAGATCTCAATAGCTGCAGATCTCCGGATTTCACCATCGTGTAGCCATACCCTTGGGGCATAGATATACACGAAAATAAATT